ATTGCCACGTAGTATTCCATTGTGTATATAAACCACAATTTCTTTATCCATTCATCAGTTGATGGGCATTTAGGCTCTTTCCATAATTTGGCTATTGTTGAGAGTGCTGCTATGAACATTGGGGTACAAGTGCCCCTATGCATCAGTACTCCTGTGTCCCTTGGATAAATTCCTAGCAGTGCTATTGCTGGGTCATAGGGTAGGTCTATTTTTAATTTTCTGAGGAACCTCCACACTGCTTTCCAGAGCGGCTGCACCAATTTGCATTCCCACCAACAGTGCAAGAGGGTTCCCGAGGGAAAGCCTTTTTAATATAAAAGGTGATTTTTGAATACTTACTAACAGGGGCGCCTGGGTGGCGCAGTCGGTTAAGCGTCCGACTTCAGCCAGGTCACGATCTCACGGTCCGTGAGTTCGAGCCCCACGTCAAGCTCTGGGCTGATGGCTCGGAGCCTGGAGCCTGTTTCCGATTCTGTGTCTCCCTCTCTCTCTGCCCCTCCCCTGTTCATGCTCTGTCTCTGTCTGTCCCATAAATAAATAAAAACGTTGAAAAAAAAAATAAATTTGTGAATACTTACTAACATATATCCAATAATCCCAAATAAAACCTTGACGAACCTTCAACACTACCTGTTTTATTTTTAAATACGGCATATAATAGGGTTTATCCCAGAAATATCAGGATAGCCTAACAGAATATTTTTTTATAATTTATGAAATTAAGCAATTTATGAAAATAAGGACAAAGATATATTTATGTCAACAGATGCAGAAGAAGCATTTGGTTAAATGCCATCATCATTCATTATTAAAACTGTTAGCAAACTCCTTTAGAAAAAAAAACACTTTAATATAACAAATGTTAATTTAAAAATACAGCAAACATTAATGTCAAAATAACAGACACATTCCCTTTAAAATGAAACAAGACAGGACCACCTCTTCTATAATCAGCACTATACTGAAAATACTTATCAATGCAATAAGACAAGAAAAAGAAATAGTTGTAGTAAAGAAGTATAGTTGGTGTTATTTGTAGATTAGATAAGCCTACATACAAAATTTAAAGCGAATTAAGGTATCAAGGCTTATATAGCTACAGTAACAAAAAGAGCATGATACTGGTGCAGAGTGTGCCAAATAGATCAATGAAACAGAACAGAAAAGAGGTAAGCATGCATAAACTTATGTTAGAATTTGACATAGCAAGAGAACTGCTGTTACAAATAGTTGGAATCGGGGGCCTGGGTGGCTCAGTCAGTTGAGTGTCTGACTTCAGCTCAGATCATGATCTCACGGTTCATGAGTTCGAGCCCTGCCCGCATCAAGCTCCGTGCTGACAGCTCAGAGCCTGGAGCCTGCTTCAGATTCTGTGTCTCCCTCTCTCTGACCCTCCCCCACTCATGCTCTGTCTCTCTCTCTCTCTCTCTCTGTCAAAAATAAATAAACTTAAAAAAAAAAAAAAAATAGTTGGAA